TTTGGTGTCAGATCCTATCGAATATGAGTTATCGTGAACTATATCCAGCTATAGGTGTGTCCAATTTTTTGTATTACTTACGAAGAGAATTCGTCAATTTCTTTTTTGTTCAAGACCGTTGATTACTATCCACTGTGTAAAATTGCTCCTTTCAACCTCAGGCCTTTGCGCGTTGGGACCTTGAAGCAATATTTTTACGATGACCGTCAGGTACGAGTATCTATTGAGAAGCGACCAGGCTGTGTCATGAGAGCATAAGATCCCCGTCCGAAGAAGCTTTGAGAAACATGAACTTCGGAGACTCCATTGAGAGCACACAACGGCGAGGAGGAGCTAAACAAGAACTAGACGCTCCGATTCAGACTCCGCCTGGCTGACGTACGCCGACGAACCGCACTTGCCTGCCTTAGCCACCGGCATCTCTCCTTTTTACCGGTGAGGATGTTCTCAAGCCCCACTGAAAAAAGACTTTTGTTCACTCCGTATTGCTTCGCGAAGGTGTGCGGGAGAGCATGTGCTCTACCTTGTCAAAGTCCAACAACTTCAAAAATTTGTGCGATGAACAAGTCCATCGCCGACTCGAGAAATATACATCCACCATCAGGGCGAAATCATTAATATCAGGATAATATAAAAGGTACAGGACTAATGTCAAAATTTGAAGGTTCAGCGATGCTTCGTCTCTCGAGCGCCCTTCTGGCTGTTTCCTTGGCTGGCTCTGCTTTGGCAGACAGTCTGGCCGAGGTTGAGCACATTGTGCTTTTCATGCAGGAGAACAGAGCATTCGATCACTATTTTGTAAGCTCAGGAAACTCTTGTGAAATTGCTTGGTTGATCGATACTTCTAGGGTACCATGGCTGGGATTCGAGGTATATTTATTTTCTTCTCTCTCTCTCTCTCTTCTCGCCAGAATCTTATAATAATTACCGTATTTGCATTTTCTCAGGTTTCAAAGACCCCAAGTGAGTATTGCAGAGTTCGACCTCGAAGCGGAAGAGGCCCTTCTAAGCATATTCCCAGTGTTCAAGTCAACGCTGACGGCCGTTCGGTATACTTTCAAAAGGTCAACCCATTTCTTTCCAATGCCACCGACTTTCTGCTCCCATGGTACATCGCGGCGGAAGGCGGAGAGTTTATTAATGGTTCGCAATGTATGGCTGCAGGCTCAAATGCCTGGGGAGAAAACCACGCTGCACTTGCTTCAGGGCAGAATGCAAGTTCTTTAATTTGAGAATTTGTCAACCTGATTAAACCAATGCTCAGGACCTTTGGGCAGAAGCCAATACACCACAATCATGGGGTCATTTCAGGAGGTCTGATGTTCCTGTCCAATTTGCTGTTTCGGAAGGTTGGACAATAGGTGACATGTATCAGCAAGGAGTTATCTCTGTGAGTATTCGACGGTATCATAGTTTGAATTAGTATTCATCTTTCTCAAGGACACGGACCCCAACCGTATCATATGGCAAACTGGAAGCATAGCGTAAAGGTTAAGGTTTGGAGGGTGGCAGCGCATGCTAATTTTGTCAAATACAGGATTCCTGGAGGGAATGTAAACACCACCCGGGGTCCTGTATTAGATAACAACAGGAGTCCCGGATGCTCTAGACTCACTTTGACACTCGAAAACGGTACAGTGCTCGAATCACCCCAGAACTACAGCTGGTAATTGGAGCAACTTCTTTCGGTAAATTTTGACTAAAAAACACTCCAGCTATCCATTCGATTGGAAGACTGTAAGTAAATGTTAATGATGTCCCAATAATATATGCTGAAACATCGAACAGCTCCCAGAATACCTTCAAGATGCTGGAATATCGTGGAAAGAATTCCAAGCTTTCGACAAGTGCGGCTTTTTGGTGATCCTGCTTTGTCCTTCAATTCATTACATCTTCACTTTTACTAGCTTTGGCGATAATCCCCTAGCCTACTTTGCACAGTGGCAGGAATTAGCGGATGACAATCCAACTGGCGAACTTGCCCAAAAGGGTACGCTCTCTGTTATAAGCCTGCCAAAAGTTTGCTTTATTCGCTTTTCAGGCCTTGCTATGAATGGAGGAGGCAACTGGCAAGGGGGTTTAGATCTGCTGAAGAAACAAGCTGCCGAGTATGCTTAATATCTGTTCTCAAGCTGACCGTTATAATTCATCTTGCGTTCCAGAGGAACTCTTCCTGCCGTCTCGTTATATATCGGTAAATGTTTTTTGATTCCTAAGATATTTTCGGCATTTCATCTGGAATATCTGGACTGTAGGCCCTGCAGAACTCTCTGAGCATCCATCCTATCGCCCAGTTGATGGCGGTTGGCTGTGGAAGGAGATGGTAGATGCTGTTGTCAACTCTCCAAAGTATAACAAGACTATCCTTATTATCTCTTACGACGAGACCGGCGGCTGGGGTGATCAGTATGACGATTTACCCATTGGCTACATACTGAACGCTAACCTTCTTTCTAATTTAGTGTCGTACCTTTTACTTCGTACGCTTAACCGTTCCGCGCATCCATGTCACCATGCTGATGACTCTCTAGACCAGAAGGCACTCCCGGCGAATGGATCATTGTAAATGATATCTAGCATCATGTGGTTATAGCTATTTGACACCCCACTAGAATCCCTTCACTGGGCAGCTCGCTCCCACCGGACCTGGCTTCCGTGTTCCTTTCGCAGTTGTTTCACCTTGGACCCGAGGCGGCATCGTCTTTACTGAACCAGCGGATCACACATCCCAAACTTTGTTCCTTGAAGAATGGGCAGCTGCAAGGGTACATTATACTGTATAGATTTGAAACGTATTCGTCTTCTAATCCAGCACATTAGGGCACGCCTTTCAAGAATACCCAGATCAATGATTGGAGAAGAGAACACATGTCTAATCTTGTAAACATGTTTGACTTTGAGCATGTAAGTCGGTCCGATTCAAGAATGACAAAGAACTACTAAAATGATCTTATCCTAGCCTGACTATTCCGCTGCCCCAATTCCAGACGCTCCTCCACCTCATACAGACCCTCTCACGTCGCTTCTTGACGGGGTACGTATGTCTCTTCTAGGGTCTAGGCGCAAGCTAACCAAACCATAATAGGATGTATTTTGCGAGCATGCATTTGCAGGATTTGTCGAGGCACCCATTCCGTACGGCAAGCAGACTCTGCAAGATTCTCTGTTCACAGAGACAGGTTTCAAAACCGTACGAGGTATGAGCTGAGTTATATCGTGCTAAGTATACATCTTAACTTGATTTTACGTCTTGAAACACCAGGTTCCATTACAGAAGGACGCTATCTCGTCATAGAATCCAATCGCAACAATCTAGCTCTTTCCCTCAGCGGATCGTCTCTCGGTACTTCGCAGGTTACGCCTGAAAAATTCAATACACCTTCCCAGCGCTTCGTGATCCATGCTACGGATCCCAAACTGGCAACGGGAAAGACTTTCAGGATCTCTTCCGCGGCATTTGTAACGGATGCGACCGATCCCGCTAACGCTACGACCCCATTCCTTGACAGTAACTTGCGATTCGGGTCCGTAAACTCTAGTGCCGTGTTCAATATCACATACGAGGGTTCAGGTCTGTACAACATTAAGGAAAGCAGCAGTGGCAAGTCCTTGAGTGTAAACAACAACGGCGTGCCATCGTTGGGTGGAACTGCGGAGGATTTCAAGATCTTCTCGGTTTCTTTCTAATGAGATAGTAAACTTCTAGTCCACTACAGGTATTATTCCTATATCCGAAATGAAATCTATGAGTCAGAGTTCAGCCTCGCTATCTTTATGTCAACGAGTCAGTGTTTCTTGCGGCTCATAGGCAAGCATCAGATAGTATTGACCTTTTAAGGGACTCAACGACAATGCTAAGCGCTGAGATGTAATATAAAAGTGTACTGACCCATCTGCTTCATCTTACCTCTCACCGAGCATCCTTATCATGTATACCGTCTCAGATTCTTACTGCCAGAAGTGCAAACAAGGCGCTGAACCTGGAAAAGGCTGGCCAGTTTGCAAAAACTGCGAAAATGTGACTTACTGCGTGCGTGCATCTCCCGACCACCGAGATCATCGTACTTAGTATACCTTGCAGTCAAAGGATTGCCAGCGTGCAGATTGGTCAATTCATAAACCGGTTTGTAGGCCTCGTAGCGCAGATGAAACATGGGCGATTCGCATCCTTTCGAATAATAGTGCTACAAGGACCGAAAAACCAATGCATTATTTCCGGCACGAATTGATTAAGGGAAACGACCATCCCATCTTTATTGACGGAGAATATTGCCCTGTAACCAAGCGTTTTGGCATTCCTCTGATCATATACAGCATGGGGATATGCAAGGGTGCTTCTGCGCCTAATGAAATTGCCATCAAGCTGCGAGTGGAAACCAAAGACGGATTCGCCCCCGAAATGTGCGTACAGTTCTCTTTATCTCCTGTGGTACTTTGACGGAAGCCGCGCCGTAGGTGGCAGCTTGATCCTGGGGAAGTAAGTGTTTGGGGCATACCTAATGCCGACGTCACTGATATCCACAGTGTCTTGTCATGGGAGAGGATCGCAAGCCATTGACGATGGCGCTACTCGAAGCAGTCTATAGTTTCATTGCCCATCTCATGAGCTATCCTATTCTCAAAAAAGGATGGGCTCCCTGGGATGGACTGCTGAATCCGTCGGTTTGGCAAATGTACGGGATGAGGTACTACGAAGAGCAGCAGTATGCCGGTAGACCAGGCTTTGGGCATTTCTTTCCAGCGGTTGATTGTTGATGGCTGAATGAAATTTGTCCTCATAAGGAGTGACTATTAAACACTCCCTTTGTTCTGATATAGAAATTATGGGTGAAGAATTTTGAAAGAGTTTGCCTCAAGTTTTTTTGTCGTCTGAAGTAGGCAAGAAGTAGGAAACTGTCTTGAAAAGCTCAGTACGCATCACTTGGAAGCGAATTATTTGCAAACCCACCTTCAGGGTGCTTTCATGCCCCCTTGCTAACTTGAAGTTCACGTCGACTTAAGCCCCCGTTGTCTAATGGTTATGACGTCAGACTTCTACGCAAAATTTCATGATCTGGAGGTTGCGGGTTCGAATCCCGCCGGGGGTTTTGGTAGTTAATTTTATTTATCTTGTTTCTTTTTTAAAAAAGCTCGGAGGGTACTTGTGCAGATGTGAGTTGGATGCGAGCGGTCCTAGCTTCATTTAAGGCACAAAAAGGAGGCCATGATCGGTCATCGATCAGTTTTGTCTAACATCGGTCCGCTCTCTCCTACCTACGTTCATGTCGTGCTTACTCACCTTCCTGTCTGCACACTTCCTCTGCAATCTTAACCATGCGGTTTGAAATTGGTTCTACAATATCGGCAGAGCTCATACTCATTTTTTCTTTAAACAAAGGTTTACATGCAAATGTGTAACGCATTTGTGCTCATAAGGTGACCAGTCACGCACGGTGTAGATAGGATTTAGTACACAAGTAAAAGTCTCATGCTAAGTCAATGTATGCGCAGCAATTTTCAGCCTTAAAAGAGTCCGGCTCTGAGGCCTGAGGTTTGAAACTACTTTTGCCTAACCTTTCTTTAAACTCTTTCTCCTTTTCCGCGTTTTTTCACTGAGGGATGAGATGGCATGAATTAAATTACAAGGCAAACCCTACCTCCTGAATGACATCGAGTCAACGGTGGTCTTAGAATTACAATACAGTAAACGTAAGTAGTCGTGTCCCCTGAGTTCAAGAAAACGACGCGATTTCTCATTCCAGTGATCTCGTATCACGCTTTATCCAGAGTGGCAACATTCTCCACCTCTCCAATTGACTGCTTTTCATGCTTCTCCACCACATTCAGAACACCTCCGATCATCTCGTTAGTTGCACCTTCTCCATCGAAGATTGCAGCAGTTTCCTCCAAAGTAAGGCCCTTTGTCTCAACGACATCTGATATACCGAGTAAGAAAAAAGAAAGAAAGAGGCGTAGATAAATTGAAACGCACATAGATACACAAAGACGCATTCGAATGCGATCCAGCAGCAATACACGATATAGTATTTCCAAGTGATATGACCTGACAACCGGTGTTCAGGTCAGTGGGCGAGAGAGTGTTCTGAGGGACTTACCTAGTGCGATGGGGTTGACGTATTGGTTGAAAATTAACGCTAGTGATATAGTGAAATTGAATATCGTGAATCCCTTGGCGCGAAGAGGATAGGGTAAGATTTCAACGGTGTACATGACGATCAATGGCGTATATGCAATGCTGAAACAAATCATTAACTTCTTCTGCGAAGACCGAAAGCCAAACACAACACGTACTCGTAGAAAGCGTAGAACAGGAAAATGAATGCAATGACGCTGTGAGCGGCAGCAGGCTGCCCATTGATTTGGAATTGCGCAAAGGCTATCGTTTGGGACGTGAACCAAACGAGCATTCCAATGGAGGAGCACAGGAACATGAAGCGACGACCGAGTTTCTCTACCAACGAGGATGCTATCAATGCGCAGAACAAGTTCCATATGGCCAAAATTCCGTTGATGAGCAGCTAACAGAAGATGACAATGAGAACTACAATCATGAACCATGAACAGCCTCTGCACCTGTGTCGTCGCGTCCTTAATATTGATGTCGTCGAGGATCTTGTTCAAGTAGTACGAAGCGAGGCCATTTCCGGACCATTGTGAAAAGAAGGCTATCGCAACGATGATCCTCAATCGCTTGAGGTTCCCAGGAGTGGCGATAAACGATTTCCAGCCAACATTGGCCGCGACTACAAATCGCATCATGCTCTGCTTTGAAAAACAGCATTCGGAAAAGGCTCACTCTCTCGGTCATACTCAATTGCATTTTTGATTTCGTTGAACTCGTACTGGACCAGGGGATCATCTCTATAGGTAAAACATAAGGGAAGCTAAATTTAGTAAAAACCTGAAAACTGACCGATTACCGTCGGCGTGGTAGTGAGCAAGAACTTTCAGAGCTTGCTCTTCCTTCCCTTTGTAAACGAGCCAACGAGGTGATTCCGGCACAAACCAGATTAAGCAGACTTGAATTACTGAAGGTAAGCCTTGCAAAACTGAAGGTACCCTCCAAGCCCAGGTGTTGTTAATCTTGAATGTACCAAACGTTGTCCAGGCCGCACTGGCGAATATCAACAATGTCAATGGGATCGAACAAGAGGATAATTAATGCCCACATGATTGCGCCAAGATACCTACACACATCATTCATGATTGTCAGCGCATACCGGAAATCAGCTCACAGGAGGCTGCAACACGCACCATAACGAGTTGTAGGTCGCCGTCAGCTGTGCACGATACCGAGGATATGATATCTCCGAAACTAACATTGGAGCGGCATTGGCTAGCGAGAACTGGGTCAGGTATGTATTGGGTAGCCCAAGTGGCTAACATACCAGCGAACGTGAGACCGAATCCGATCAAGAATCTTCCGAATGAATTCAGCAGGAATAATGGCGTAAAGGTAGACATTGATCTTACCGCGCTCCGACGAACATTCCTTCAGATTGTGCAGCTGACTGGATCGCCGTAGCAATACACATGATAGACGCGCCAACGAAGACGGTCATACGACGTCCAATGCCATCGGAGAGGTAAGGAGCGAACGGGTAGGCGGCCAGGGAGCCAATGTTCTGCAGAATGGGATCAGCTATAGCTACGCATACGCCATTACCGAACTTACTTGGATCGCATTCAACAAACCCAGCTCGCTATCGCTGGGGTGGTTAAAATAATCCTTCCATTGGTCTCTGTGTTTGCAATGAGTGACAATAGCAAATCCATTAGAATCAGCTTACAGGGACTGCAGCCCATTCATCATACTTCCATCGTATCCATTTGTTGAGGACGTAATAAGCCTATGAAATAGTCAAGTCAAAGTCATTCAAATACAAGACTGTTACGCACAGAAGAATGATCCATGCATTCAAGGCGAAGAGTCTGCACGAACACTGAATATCCACAACAAGAGTCGGGTCCACTCCGCATCGACTCACCGTCTATTGTTATACCACTTCCTTCTCGGGTCAAGAAGAGAATTGATCCCAGAGTCAGCAGCAGCAGCAGCGACTACACCACCGGCCATTATAGCAAACTGTTTTGAGTGGGGAATAGCACAATTCTCCTGGGTATGTTCGATTCCGTAATATATACCTCCCTTCTCCACTTGAAGCGGAGCGAGCAAATGACCTGAGAGGAAAATTTCTCCAGAGGTACACCGGAAACTCCCCGCATCTAGCTTTAAATGACATTTCTAGATCTGTACAATGTGGTCCAATCTGGACTGTATGTTCTGGGCGTTCTGGGTAGCATGCCAGAGCGCAATCATCGCCGGTCCTCTGCGAGTTTTTAAAAAAGGACGAAACACCTAAAGTTTCAGGCCAGGGGCGTATGTGCTACCTCGCTATTGCTGCATATGTCCGGAAGGAACGCTCCCAGGCCTTCGAAAAGTGCGTTCCGCACCCTTCCCCACCCAAATACGCATGGAGATACTCACTTACTTATTCGGTTTTCATTGCAATCTTGACGACTTCTGCCGAATTTTCTCCTCGTATAAACTAAAGAAATTATACCAAGACATACCGGTTGTAGCCGCCTTCCCGCAACCCCGGAAACCCGGGGCAGCCGGGGAAGTAGCTACCCAGGGGTGATGTTGCGGGGGAGATAATCGCCATTTCCAGCTTGATTTAGCTCTTCGGAGGCTTTAGCAGTGTATTCAGGAAGGTAACTAACAATATATTTTAATTACAGCATGGGGCGCGCGCAAATTGGCACAAATCGGATGGACGGGTGACAGCCAGAAAGAAAGCAGATATGGAAAATCAAAATCGCTTCAACAGATCAGTGGCTGCGCCGGAATTTGAAGGGCCAACAGATCCTGCGGCGGGAGAACTTTCTAGGATCGTTGAATTGGAGGGTTCAGCCTTCTTTCTGCTAAACCAGGACGCATTCCAGTACGAGCTCGGAGCCTTTGGTGAGGATGAAGGCTCAGGCGCTTGGGCCGAACTTAGCGGTGAACCTCGCGAAATGTGAAACGAGGAGGGCCGCGAACTGTAACTCGAGGTTCTATACCGGAAGTGTTTCTTCAGCGTGTTAGTCATATCTGAGGGTGATCCCCCAGGGGAAGGAAGCGCAGAATCATTCCTGGCGGGGCTGGCAACAGAGATTGGCGAAGAAACTAAGTTCTGTTCTGAGATTGCCGTTGTAGGATGTGCTTTATTTGCCGCTGTCGATGATCCAGACGAGACGCTGCCCAGAGGTGGAATACGGCCGCCAGAGAATCTAGACGTAGTAGACAGCCGAGACGAGCGGGAACCTGGGCGTAACGGCGAATGAGGCCCCTGAGCTAGCAGGGGACTGGTGGGAGCTACAGGGAGTTGTGGGGAAGGAGGAGGGGGCGGAGATGGAGGAGGAGATGGTTCAGGATTCTCGGAAGAACTGGGGAAAGGCCGCAGAGCTTCTCCAGTAGTTGGAGCCTCCGGAGAAGCCTGGGCTAATAAACGGGATAATGAGGATGGCCGAGCACTTGGCGTAGAATTTGACCGAGCACGAAGTTGCGATGACGACGTGTTTGCGACCTGAAACGTATCCTCAACCTCCGGTTCAGGTGGACCAGGAGGCAAAGCTGCAGTACTATTAGCCAGAGAGTCTTTTCCCTCTGAAGTCCGCCTCTTTGAAACCTTCCGTTTGTTCTGGCTAGGCTGGGTCCAATCTTCCACTTCCAACATATAATACTTAACACCGTCTCCCAGAGCGTATGGATTGCTCGTAGGGTCCTTAGGGCAGTAAAGTCAGACGAATACACAACAGCCGAAAAAAAAGCAAACAATCTCACATTCCGGTCAACTACACGCTCGGTAATTGAAGTAATTCGGGCAACAATCCACTCCCGAGTTTTCAATTGTTCTGCCAGATGCCCGGTCGCTTGCAAAAAGTAGTGCGGGAAAGAGACTGAATTAACAACGGTGAAAATTCGGTGTAAAATTGTCATCAATCAGCAAAATAACAAAAACAAAGAGAAGTCTCACCATTAAACGCAGCCCAGGGCTTGCTTACCGAGTTCCGCGTCGGGAGGAATAGAGCTAAATCTCCTTTG